CATTGATCATTTCAACCTATTTACCTCTGAACAGGGTGAAGCTCCATACTCTTAAAATTTCCTTAGATGCACGTTTTTTCACTGTAAAAAGAGGAAGACTTCAGGTGGACTCAAGGATATTGAATAAATTAAATAAATTAAAAGAGAAATAGTCAAAAACTAGTTATTACTAAAATTATTTTAAGACATTCCATGCTGTAATCGTGGTTATTTAGTCACATCCTATTATAAGTGATGCTTTTATCGCTTCTGAAGGCAAAACTTGCATTTGTTTTGCGGCGGTGCTTTAAAAAAGTACTCAAGCAAAGGTGGCAAAACAAGGGCAAAACCCACCGGCAGGGAATGACTTGCATTATAAAAAGTATCTCCATCAATGTTACACTATGTCCTCAGCTCATGATGGAAATCCTGGCATTCTTCCAAAAAAAATAACTATTGACAGTGAGATCAAAGCACTGAATGCTGAAGTAGAAGAGAACCAAAGATGTTGCAGAGATTGTAAATGCGGTCGGGACAAAGGAGTAGTCCCTGTCAGAAATGAAAACATAAAATAAAATGGTTCAACATAAAACTGAATATGATAAATCGTATAGTAATGTGTTTTCATTTATAGTCTATGACTGTTTTGTTTGAAGTTAATTTTCCATCCATCCTTTTTCTTCCGCTAATCTGGAATCAGGTCACATGGGCATCAGAGGCCCAGACTTCCCTTTCCCCAGCCACTTGGGCCAGCTCCTACAGGGGCAATCCCAAGGTGTTTTGAGCTGGGTCTTCATTTGGTTCTCCTCCCAGTTGGACATAGCCAGAAAACCTCACCAGGGAGGAATCCAGGAGGCCTCCTAGCTATATACCTGAACCACCTCAACTGGCATTTCTCACCCAAGAGCCCAGCCACCCTGTGGAGGAAATTCATTTCGGCCAATTGTATCTGCATTTTTGTGATGATTAGATGATCAGTAAACAGTGTAAAGTAACTTTTAGGCTCCACAGAAACACAACTCAGCTGAAAAATGGTTGTGTTGCTGGGCATTTTTCAGTTTTATGGCTTTTTGTCAGACTCTGAACCAGGAAATGGTTGCAGGCAGTGAAACAGAAGGCAAAAAACTCCGGGGCAACCAGTGACTCTGTCCCCTAACCAGTCAGCGGACAGAATCGCGATGTCGGCCCGACACAGCCTTGCCAAGTACCTCAATGGAGCAGGCACTGAAAATCGGGGAGAATGTAGTGGGAAAATACTGAACCGTGCCTTTGGGAACAGTGGTCACCCGAGTTACTCTGAGTAGTGCTCCTGGAAAACCACCTTTAAACTCCTCCCTTTGGGGCAGAACCATCTACCTGACTTAGAAAAGGGATTCTACCATTTTCCGTCTCAAGACCATGGTCTCGGATTTAGAGGAGCCGATTCTCATCCCAGCTGCTTTGCACTCAGCTGTGAACCTGTGAACCGTGAAAAGAACAGCCTTGGCAGAGTCTCACTGGAAACAAGCCCGACTTACTGCTGGCAATTCGAATCTAGCTCTGACACCAGGTGTACAGTGAACTAACAGCCCATACCAAGGGGTCAAGTACCACATACTCCCAGAGTACCCCCCACAGGGCCCCCGAGGGGCACAGTCGAACGTCTTCTCCAAATCCACAAAAACTCCCATGCACCCTCCAGGAATCCCCTAATGGCATTGAGTTGGCCTAGCATTCCACAGCCAAGACAAAAACCATATCGCTCCTCCTGAATCCGAGGTTCAACAATCCAACAGACTCTTCTCTACAGAACCCCGAATAGACCTTACCAGGGAGGCTTAGAGGTGTGATTCCCCCGTAGTTGGAGCGCACCCTGCATTCTCCTTTTTTAAATGGGGGGGCACCACCCTGGTCTGCCAATCCAGGGGATCAGCTCTGCCACTGAGGAGTTTTTTAACCACCTCAGTGACTTTGGCTCCAGAGATTGGAGAGCCCAACCCAAAGTCCGCAAACTCCACTTCCTCACTGAAAGACTTGCTGGTGGGATTGAGGAGGTCTTCGAAGTACTCCGCCTACTGAACCATAACGTCCCCAGTTAAGGTCAGCAGCACACAATCCCCACTATAAACAGTGTTTGTAGTGCACTGCTGTCCCCTCCGAAGATGCCCGGATGGTGGACCAGAATCCCCTCAAAGCCATACAGGATTCTTGTTCCTTGGTCTCACCAAACTCCTTTTCAAGCCCGAGTTTTTGCCTCCACAACCATCCAAGCCGAATTTCACTTGAACTGCCAGTACACATCAGCTGCCTCCAGGGTCCCACTGGCCAAAAATACCTGATAGGTCTCTTTCTTCAGCTTGACAGCATTCCTAACTGCCGGTGTCCACCAATGGGTTTGGAGGTTGCTGCCACGACAGGCACCAGCCATCCTGCAGCCACAGCTATGGTCAGCCACCTTGACAATGGAGTCACATAACAGGGCCTACTTGGACTCAGTTCCCCCTGCCTCTCCTGGGATGCATTTGAAGTTCTATCAGAGGTGAGAATTAAAGCTATTTCTGACAGGAGATGATCCCAGCAAACTCTCACAACACGTTTGGGTCTGCCAGGTACCCTCCACCACTATCAAAGCCAACTCACCACCAGGTACTATGGTGTAGTGTTGGATGCATGCTGTAGAGCGCCATGCTGCCCCTACAGTTTGGGAGAATATTGGCTCACCGCAGAGATAAGCCGCATGAACCATAAACGCTGCGAGTTGTGAAGCGCGTTTCATCCGTGAGCCGCATCACCAAGCGGAAAGTAAATGCGTCAAGCATAAACCAAGCTTTACAGTTTTGCAATCTGGATTAGGAAAACTAAGAATAAGATGTTTGAACGAACTGTAGCTATTAATTGGTAAGGGACTGATTAATAAGTCCGAATGAAAAATGGTTACTACTCCTCCTCCTCGCCCTGTACTTCGAGCAATATGATGATTTAAATAATTTGAAGGAGTCGACTCATTTAAGCTAACATAGTCCTCTTGCTGCAGCCAGGTTTCGTTGAGAGAGAGCAAAGAGATCTGATATCATAAATCAAGTCATTAACTAACAAATTCTTAGAAAAAAATGAATCTAATGTTCAACAACCCACATTTAATTTTTCTAGTTTTCAGCTCAGTTGAATTTGTTCTAATATTTATGAGATTTTCATGGTTTGCTTTATTAAGCCTGATATTTAATTTGTGTGGTTTTGGCCGTGGGCAGGACACTGTCTCTATGGGGTAATGGGTGGGTAACAGTACAGAAGCTGCAGAGGGGTGGTTTAAACTACGACTCTGCTTCCTGGTCTGGACCCTGGGTTGTCATGGAGGACTAATAAAACTGGCCATATTCCTAGAAAGAAGAGCTGCTCCATCCAAAGAGGGATGGATGCCGTCTCTCCGCATCAGACCAGGTTTTCCCCAAAAAGTTTTCCAATTATCAATGTAGCCCACGTTGTTTTCAGGACACCACCTAGACAACCAGCGGTTGAAGGACAGCATGCGGCTAAACATGTCGTCACTGGTCCGATCAGGCAGGGGGCCAGAGAAAATTACGGAGTCCGACATTGTTTTGGCAAACCTGCACACCGAAGCAACATTAATTTTAGTGACCTCCGATTGACGTAACCGGGTGTCGTTACCGCCAGTGTGAATTAGAATCTTACTGTATTTACGCTTATCCTTAGCCAGCAGTTTCAGATAAGATTTAATGTCGAACAATAACAGTGAAGACATTTTGCTGGTCCTCACTTTGGTACAATGTTACAGAGCTCTACTCATTAATTTTAGAGGTATGGTGTGAGTTAAGTTTTAGTTAAGGTTAAGGTTAGGAATAGACTGGTTTTGGTTAGAGTTAGGGTTAGGCGCAAGAGTTAGGTTATTGCTGACACAATCCAATGCCTGAAGTCTCATAAATTATGAACTCTGGATATTTTGGCCTTTCCTGAGCCAGTCTATGTGGACTGTCATCTTTCTCTGCTGACCTGTGTACATGGCCTCTAGTCCACACCCTTTCAATCAACACAATCAACACATTACTGAGGTAGGAACATCAGGCACTTTTACATTTTGGCTGTTGGCCATCAAACATGTCATTAACTTAAATTTATCACATTTTTTCCCAGAGGCTTTTGCATATTCATAGTTTTTCTTACGGCTGCGCAGTGGCACAGTGGTTAGAGCTGTTGCCTTGCAGCAAGAAGGTCCTGGGTTCACTTCCCGGCCTGGGATATTTCTGCATGTAGTTTGCATGTTCTCCCTGTGCATGCGTGGGTTCTCTCCGGGTACTCCGGCTTCCTCCCACAGTTCAAAAACATGACTGTTAGGTTGATTGGTCTGTCTAAATTGTCTATAGGTGTGAGTGTGTGTGTGTGTGCGTGATTGTTTGTCCTGTGTGTCTCTGTGTTGCCCTGCGATGGATTGGCTCTCTGTCCAGGGTGTACCCCGCCTGATTGCCTGTTGACCGCTGGAGATAGGCACCAGCCCCCCCCACGACCCTGCGTGGACAAGCGGGTTCAGAAAATGGATGGATGGATGGTGTTTCTTACCCTTTGATGAAATATCTACTTTGCAATCATTGCAAGTTACCCATTTGTCATTCTTTTTGGTAAAGAACACCAAACTTTCCAGTGTTTGTGCTACTTAGACAGCATGTTTCCTGCTTCCGTAAGCTCCGCAACGTGTGTGGTGACGTCATTCCTGCTGACTGGAATTGATAAGGGGAATTGTTTGCAAAAGTGACTAACAATTCCTTGGAATTGAAACAATGGGACCCGGTTCCCAATAAGAACCGGTTTTCGATTCCCACCCCTATAGGTGACGGACCTGTTGTCTGTGAACACAGCTCTCTTTCAACTCTGCCAGCTGGCCAGAATCACATATCGTATCTTATCTTATCTTTTCTTATCTTATCTTATCTTATCTTATCTTATCTTATCTTATCTTATCTTATCTTATCTTATCTTATCTGTCTTCTTACCTAACCCTAACATTTTGAAGCGTTAAAAAGTAAAAAAAAAAAAAAGTAAAAAACGATTGCTCTCATCTTATCACAACATCTTGAATCTGTTCATCATTTGTAGTTCGGGAAAAAAATAGTCCTGGTAGAATTACTGTGTTACAGACTGTATAAAGGCAGATGACCTTTATAGGAAATTGAAAACGATGTGGCAGAGGTACACAAGCCACCTACTGAAGCGGAGGAGAAGAGAAGGTCACATTAAGACGATTAAATACAATACAAAAGGTAATTTGAGTTGTCTGCATTTAAATAATTGGCATAAGGGAAAAAGAAGGAGAGCTGATAAAGCACTATGCGACTTTCCAGTATTAATGTCATTAATTTCCTATTGAACCGAGCTACGAAACACCTTGTTCTGCTTCTCACAACCTGATCTGGCCTTTTTCTGTTTAATTTGTCCTGCTTTTCGGAGGTGGAACATTTACACACACTAAAGGGCACTTTTTAAACCAAGTAAGTGAAAAGAAAATCTTGTTGCAACATGTCAACAAAATGAAACTAAAGATCAATGGCTGAGCTATTCCTAATAAAGAGATTTGCTGACTGATGGGGGTTGTAATTATGTCTGAAAGACAAAAAGATTTGAACAAATACAGCAATTATTTATTTTGTAAGACTGAATCAAGCAGAAGAATCTAGCAGTCAGATGCTTGTAGATATGAAATCAGAGTGTCTGTAAATCATATCCTTAATGAGCTTTAGTCGACTTTGAAGTCAACAATGTTTCATTTTCTGAAGCTTTTAGCTCCAGTCGGCTTATCTGAAGTTGTTCTGTAGTTAAGTGGCTCGCTTACAGCTCCTGAACCAAAATTTAAAAAATGTGTTTCTTGTTGACGACCAGCGAGTAATTCTCAACTTCATTACCCCTCCCACTGTCTTTATGGGTGACCCTGCGAGGAAAGTTGACCACTGAGCAGGATTGATGGTTTATCCCTTTTTTGTTCTTCCGGGGACCCATGAGCCGAGCGGAATGTGAGGAGACTTAGGCTTCCTATGCACAATGGCTGAAGGAACAGACAATAACGCTGCAGCACAGCTTATCTGGTACATACTCTACTGTTTGATAGTGTTATGCATGTTACTTTGTGGCAATATTATCAGAAGATTGTTTCTGCGGTCTTGTCAATTTTGGAACGCAAGCATCCACCCGGTTCAGTTCAGCTGACCCGTTTACATGTAGAATGTATTTGGATTGCTACTGCATTATCTGGGTGCTTTAGCCAGACTGTGTTTACATGCATTTAAAACAAACGATTTGAGTCTTTTTAGGGTAATACTTTGGGTTTCTGATGCACATGTAAACTCACTTGGTGTCAATAAAACATTTCTGCTGTTAACTATTTCCTTTTTTGAGAAAATTGTTGTTTACCGCACTGTATGTGTGTAAAGATGAGTAAACGATTCTCCTCATCACTACTGACCTGTGAACATGAAATCTCTTTCCAATAACTGGGTGAAAAGAAACATCAGCAGACCTGAGTGGGTCAAAGAAAGCCGCTGTGGACAGAATGTAAACAATCTTCTGGTTAAATCTATATTTCTAAGGTGGTTGCTGATCTGTTTTTGTGGTTTTACTCTCTGAAAACATTTATTAAACTTTTGAGAAACACTTTTTAAGCAGCTATTTTTCATGAAGTAATCTTTACGGCATATTATTAGAAAAACCTTAAATTTTAAGGTTTTTGTACTTTAGCCTTTCATTTTCCTGCCACCAAATTAAAATCTCAACAGATTTTACTGAGATGCTTGTATTCTGTCTTAAATCTCTCATGTTCATCATCCTTATGTCTACTAGCTCATCTGATGAAGATGCTAACTCAGTCTTCATGAACTCTGAATGGAAGGTAGAGCATGCATGATTCAGAATGAGTGAATATTATTTCAGATTATAACATTTTTTGCCCATCTTCACACAAACAGAGATTGGGGTGAGAAAATGTTTAGATAAACAAAAATATTCAATATGAAGTTTCGTTGACTGTTTTTGGTGTTTCTATGTTCACTCGTTTGACAAAGCTTTGGAGAGCTGATGGAGTAGCGGTCTGTTTTGCTATTTTTAACGAGTCAGATGAAAAATACAATGAAAAGACAACTTTTTTACTTGCTCTGTCATCATCTCATCAACAAGAACCTTTACTCGCAAGACCTTTATTCATGTCTGTCTTGAAGATCAACTGCCACATATTTCACGATTTTGTGGTCACTGCTGATGGGCTACCATCACATATTTATCATTTATTTGGGAAAAAAACATCTTGGAAATCTTTATCTAAACCAGTACAGCCCGGTGTGGGAAGCTTTATTGTAAACTCAGTTTGATTTGCACCTGTTCTCATTAATCTTCAACATGCAAGTATCCTGGACTCTCATAAAGTTAAAGTCCCATATTCAGCATCAATACAATTTTTTCAACGATGAGAAAGGGAGAACGGGCTCCCAGATGCCCTGCCGATACAGACCCAGTTGGATACATCTTGGACTCCTGGACACAGTGGAACTTGGATTTGTTTAACTCAGCTGTCTGTGGAGGACTCGGAAGATGTGTGGATATTTGTGGTGTTGGTGTCAGGTGTCCTGCTCATTGGCCTTGGAGGCTACCTGGCTTACCGGAAAAATAACGAGCTGTCGAGGAATATTGGCCTGATCCCGGAGCCCAGAGATGGTTTGCACCGCGCTGTGAATTCATAGACTCAAATAACTGTCGAGATGAATTGTAAGCTTGGGACTTTGGCGGAGAGTCATTCTTTGGCACAAAAGATGGATGCCATCAAGGAGAGAGTGGACGAATAAGCACGGATTGGGATAGATTAACGTCCATTACTATTGGGATTCGGAGAGGTGAGGACCAGCAGACTGTAAGACAGAGAGGAAATTATCTCTGTCTGGCCCCAAAACAATTTCTAATCGGAATCTGGCGTCCTTGAGCCTGCAAGGCTCCAACGAAAACTCCCCCCCAGAAGATATGTGGAATGTGCCGTCGCTCAACTCAACTCTACCTCCTTTCCCAGCCTGGGCAGGACAGCGGGAAGGGCGCTGAAGCGTCCAGGGTCACTGTAACCCTCAATGCCCCCCCCCATCCACACTGAGGTGATATGCGCTGCTTCACCGTGGCTGCAGGAGCTGAAACTGGGAATAGTCCCAACCTACCACCCCTCCTAGTGGACACTTATGTTGTGTTGTCTGAAGTCTGTTGCATATCTGTCTGAGGCGTTTTTTTTTTTTTTTTTTTTGCAGAGCAAAGCTGCTCTCCTGCTGGAGAGTAGCTCTGAAGTGCCTCTTTTTTTCCCTCCACCTGAACCAATCCTCATGTTACCGTCTTATCTCTATTAAGGTAGCGCAACTCAGGGTTGCGAATGACCACAGTCACCAATTCTTGTCATGTGTCTTGCCCATGTATGTCTGATCTCTGAATTGTGTATACTGAAACTCTAATTTCCCTCTGGGATTAATAAAGTATTGAATTTGAATTTGATTCACACACTGGTGAAATTCATCTCTTTATTTGACCCATCCCCATGGAGTGGAGATGTGAGCTATTTGGTGGTTTAAGCCCCCAGTCCAACCCCTTTAAACCCAGTCAAGCAGGGAGGCACTGGGTCCCATTTTTTAAAATCTTTGGTATGACCCGACCGGGATTTGAACCCCGATCTCCCAGTCCCAGGTCAGACACTCAACCACTAGGCCACTGGTAATTGATTGGATTGGATGGATTGGCTAACAGCCATCTGATGAGAGCCTGTAGTGCAGGAAGTTTTGCACTACCTTTTGTAATTAGACTAATGTAACGTATCTGTAGGATCTGATGGTGTGATTAAAAAAGTTTTATAAAAAAGATACATCCGTTTATTTTTTTCTTCTGCGATCTCTGCCACTGAAAGCAGTTATTTTAGTTTTCTTTTAGAGTCAGCTCACTGGAGGACTAAAGGGTCAGCGTGTGGCCATAACTGCTGGAAGAACATATTGTGTGGTGTCAAAGTAGCAAGCAGTGGTTGAAACATCAGATTAGTAGTGTTGTGTAACCCGGCGTCCGTTATTGTATGTGCTTTTTCCACTGAGGCTACAGTTTGCTGAGAAGAAGCTGACCTGCACAGAAACTGCCCCCTCTTACAAAAAAAAAAAAAAAAAAAACACACTTCCTTTCACTCATTTTCTCACTTTTCCATGGCAACAGCAGACACTGCATACCAGAGGTGCACGTGGGTTGCAGCTTAAACAAGGATTCGGTCTTTGAGAGACTGCAGCCAAGAATAGTGTTAAACTCCCTCGTTTACTTTGTCGTCCTGGGTAGTTTTTTCAGCCCTTTGACACTCCTGTTCTGAACACACATGCCTAGTCATTGTTGGTGTTTTGCCCTGATAAATAAACACCTTCATCTTGGGTAACAAGAGAGCGTAAAGCCCTCCTCCTCATTTCATCACCTCTTGAAGTCCTGGCGGTTCCCCGGTCCAGTTGGCTCCCCGGGCACACATGGACACACACTCACACACACCTAAGCATGATTGCGCTACTAAAAGTTTTGAAGGAGGTGCCCTTCTATACAACCTACACAGGTGAAATCTGAAGGTGTGTGCGCTGCTCACAGAGAGACCCTGACTAACTGGGAGCTTTTTTCATGCGTGTCTCATTTAAATGTTTTGGAGCGCTTTGGAAGCCTCTGGGGGATAGAAACATTCAAATGAACAACAGCATCAGCAAAGCAAGCTTCTCCTGATTGGCATGCATCCCTAATGAGTGCTGAGGAAGGAAACGCTTTGCCCCTTAGAGCTGTTGATTCTCAACCAATGTCTGAGTCGGTAACAGGCTGCCCTGCACCCTCCGCCTCGCTGTTTACGCTTCATCTCCTCACTGTCTTTAAAGACAACTTAGCAGGGGGAAGCTAAGCTGGGCTGCTGAATGCACGCATGCACACGCTCAGCTGTATATGGAAGCAGAGGCTGGAGTCTTTCAGCACATTTCAACTAAGTGTTTGCTGCACGTGTGTGTGTGTGTGTGTGTGTCAGTAGCATATTATCGTCAGAGCGACCTCGTCCTGTCCTCCATCACAACAAACATTTCAACCGCAGGGGTCACCACCACAACGGGGAGCCAATTACACACCAGTGTGTTTGATCAGAACAGACGACTGCTACACATGCGCGCACGCGCACACACACAAGCAGAGAAGCATGTGCACACACTCATCCCAGTTTTGAATCCGTACCCCCATCTCCACTCAGCTCTAAAGTCATCCCTCTTCGGCACAGAGCTGAAGTGGCGTCTCCCTGCTTTAATTTGCATGCCTGTCAACGTCTAAGAATGTTTATATGTTCCGTTTGTGTCTCTTTAGTGAGTTCGTGTGAAATCTGCCAGCAGCTGGAAAAAGAGGGGCACGATACTGTATGAGGGGTAGTAGGAAGAAGGGGGGCTCACAAGTGACAGGGACACGCGACCTTAGCACCCCTTTGTAAGGTGTGTGTGTGTATGTTTTGTAAAGTCCAGCCTCTGGGGTCCTGTGGGTGGTGGCCTCGATTCTGGCACTGCTGTCACATCCCGTTACAGGCTATGGCTTTGCCCGTTACACACACACACACACTCCCTTGTGCGGCGCCTGTGCTGCCATGTCCTTTGAAATCCAGGAATCACAGATGTGGCAGCAGATTAATGTTGTATGGCCCATCAGCACACACGCTTTGGCACACATTCATCCTCTGTTTGACTTCTGTCACACAGCGAGCTGCAAATATATTCCCGACAGTAAATAGGACCTGCAGTCGTAGCTGGTAACCTGAAGGTGTTAAGGCTTTATTTTCTTTGATTCTGTATTCTCTGTTCTTTTTGGGGGGAGTTTCTGTGATTTAGTTTAGAAAAGAAAAAGTTGTTGTGTGCTACAAACATTGTTTAAGTCCTATTTTTTATTTTAAATTTTAAAAAAGCAATGGTTAAAGTTAATGACTCTCTTAAAGCAGTTTGAGAATTTATAACCACATTTGCCTTGATGTGGTTGAGTAAAGGCAGCTTGGGGTGTCTAATATAGCATGTTGTCCCTGAATTGCTTTATTAATGGCTGCAAGGAAACGATTCATTCTGAGAAAAGTTGGTTTAACACATAATTTTAGACACACCACCTTACATTAGCATAAATGTTTGTGGTTGTGATGCTAACCAAAGAACAACGCTAGTCTGAGCTATTGCTAAAGCTAACCTCAGCTACTGCTAACGTCCAGTTTGGACAAGAAGTGAACACCAAAGAAGAATGTTGGAGCACAAATGTAACATTCCAGGATGTACTGGGAATATTCAGACTTTGAATAGATGCCAGATATTTAGTTAGCTTGTCTATTGAGTAATCTGGATACTGCACACCACATTACACAGATTCTAGCTTTAAGCATTCATAGTAGGGCTGAGTGGATTGATCTAAAATATTGATAGCATAACTCTAACATTGATATTGACTAGTCATTAGCTGTGTGATGAGATCAATTCTTAAGTTTTAGTTTCTATGCTAGCTTGGCTAGCCATCCTATAGTGAAAAACAATGTGACATACTCAACGCTACAGATGTTGGTCAACAAGGGAGTCCACCAAACTCTACCAAACAAGATGCAAACATATTGTTTTTCTAAATAAAATTTAGTACCTCCATCTGCTCTTGACTCAAAGAAAAGCCAAAGTCATAATAGTTCAGACTTTATCAAATGAGCGATCGCCGACTCGTCATGTTTGTTTGTTTGTTTTTTTCCCAAGAACATCCTGCCTACTTGCGATTGACCCATAAAAACTATAGAGCACTATGATTGGACTACTACAGACTGGCAGCCATCTTGGTTTTTAGATTACCTAGCTAAAACAGTGCTGTGATTGGCCCAACAAACCATTTGAGCACTGTGATTGGAACGCCACAGATGTCAACTGAGCAGTCCGCCATTAAAACGTCGTCAAAAAACTACAGAAAACAAAAAAATAGTAAACAACTTATCGTTTTTTCTTTTTGAGTTACCTAATGAAGGTATTTTTATTTGCCTTAAAATGTTTCCTGTGTTTTTATAATACACAAGATTAGTGAAAGGAAAACTTGTAAAATAATGAAAAAATCATTGAAATTTGAGTTTTCAGACAAATGTTCGTATTGATGATGAATTTTCTTAATAAATCACACAAAACTAGATGGAATACTTGCCCTGTATTTAGTTGGTATTGGATCAATACCAAATTTTGCTGTGTCGTACAGCACTGTTTCATAGAGCCATCGGTCTAATCCAGCCAATCAGCACACAGCTCATTTAATATTCATGACCGGCTGATTGGGCAAGGTAAACCAGTCTTTCCATTGTAGGGCTTTATAATGGGGTTGTATTTGACCATTTATAAGACCTCCTGGTCCATTTTGAGCCCCAACAAAGTTTCATTTGATAAATAAAGGGGTAAAATACAGTTTATGTTTATTTATATATATATAAACTGTATTTTACCCCTTTATTTATCAAATGAAACTTTGTTGGGGCTCATATAATGTTTACTCACTGCAGAGTGCCATAATTTACTGGCAAATAATCAATATTAAGTTGATAAAAAGCAAACGCTGTCCCTGACTCTTAAATGCATACAGGCTCTGATGTTTTTGGTGGATTTGTATTAAACTGGTATTTAAAACTAACTTGTTCGTTAGCTTGTTGAACCTTCTGTTGGTTCAGGCTCAGAAAGAAGATGTCTCTCAGAGCCCCACGTGGCCAGTCTGCTTTGAGGGCTGTGAGAAAATTAAACTGCATTGAAAAAGATAAGCTGACCTGTCAGATGAAAATTGTATGAAATAACCTAGGGTTGGGTATCGTTTGGTTTTGAACGATTCCAATTCCAATTCCTCGTTTCGATTGTGGTTCCTATCCATTCCCGATTCCGACTCTTTCAAGACATGACATGTTTAACACGAGCCAGCTAACCACAGGTCCTACTTGATGAAATAATCTCAACTTCAACATGAATTTTAATTCTATGAACAATAACATCACCTTCATTTAGACAAAAACATGTTTTGGAGAAAGAAAGAAAAAGACTTGCAGCACAACCAGTGTGTTTGTTTCTGACCACAACCAAAGTCTGGAAGAAGCCTCTGGGATGAGAGGCTAAATGTCTCCAACATATCCAGAAACGTCCAGCTGTTTTCAGCTAAAACTCAGGATGATCATGTCCAGGATGACTGAGAACTACACCTCCATGCTGCAGCAGCATTCAGTCAGAACAGGAAGTGAAACCTAAACGTAGCTGCTGTCAGTAACGATCTAACAGATTTTAAACATTAAAACTCTCAACAGAAATAGTTCAGAAAGGAAATTAAAATGTTCACAACTTTGTGATTTATTATTATTATTATTATTATTATTATTATTATTATTATTATTATTATTATTATTATTATTATCATTATCATTATTATTATTATTATTTATTGTGGCAGAAGCTGGTGTGGTCCACCACAGAGAAGCTTCTCTAGCATGAGGACTTTAATTATTCTACAGGTTATTGTTCAGCCTTCTGACGCTCACGCACACACACACACACACACACACACACACACACACACACACACACACACACACGAGTGTTGGTGAGCGGTTGTGTCTGACTGCTGATGCTCCGCGTGTGTGTTTTTATTTCTGCAGTGAGACAAACTCACCTCACACCGTCCAGAGTTTGTTCTTTAAAGCTTCTATTAAATCCACCGTGTTGACGTATTTAACAAGTTTACGCTGCAGGAGTGGAGTAAAAGTTCGGCAGACACGTTTGTTTATATTGGTGTGGGGGGGGGGGGGGGGGACTCCTGCTGCACACAGACAGCTGGTGTGATCAGCTCTAAAAAGCGTTGATCACAATTTGCAGATCACGTATATTTTTCACGGAGATCGGCAGCGGATTCCTCTTCCGTCGGCATTCTAGGAATCGAAATAAAAAACTTGCTCGATGGCCAACCCTAAGATAAACTGATCACTGCGATCATAGATGGATGTAAACCAGCTGTCTAGTAGCTTCGGTGTTTTTCTCCTGTTTTGATGTTGCCACATCGTAGGTGCTACTTCTAATCTGATACGATTTTCTGACTTTCGTGAAACATATCAGTGCAACAGGTTAAAATTTAAATATGTTTTGTTCATTCCCAAGGAAGTTGGTTGTAGTTGTAAACCATGACTTTAGCTGTGGGCTGGAAGGACCTTATAGCAGGCGACTCTGTGTTGCAGATCTGAAGACTTGCCGAGTTACTGTCTTGTGAAGAGGACACTAAGGGGTTGTCCTTCATGTTCCCTTTATGAAGCGTCTTCTTTTGTTCAATCGTATCCAGAGGCTCCAGAGCCGAGCCCAGATCAGAGCCAGCCTTCTTTATCAGCTTGTTCCGCTTCTTATAACCACTGGCTCTGATGCGGCTCCCCGAGCAGATGATCACTTTGAACTCTCCACTACAGACTTGTAGAAGATCCTCAACATCTTGCTGTCACTGTTGTGTCACCAGTCCATTCTGCTATCCAGGTAAACACCAAGATGTTTATGTTCCTCTACCATTTCCCAGTCTTTACCTATGAGGGAACAAGAGTTTGACATACTTCTTTGAAGTTGAGATGATTGCCCCACGCTGTTCTACAAAGTGGTCCATCGGTTTTTTGTGCTAGATCTCGGGATCCATCTGAGAGTGAACAGGAGTGGTGCGAGTACAACTGTACTCAAACACACATATCCTCAGTTTCATAAAACGGTGGTCAGTTTAGTCATTAATTCAGATTCTAGTTTGCTCATCCACGTGGGCCAATGGCATCCTCTCAAGGTTTCATAACGTGTGATGTTAGGCCGACAGGTCTACTGGAACAAGGCAGAACTGAAACCTTCTGTTGGTTCAGGCTCAGGTAGAAGATGGAGCACCACGTGGCCAGTCTGCTTTGAGGGCTGTGAGAAAATAAATTGAACTCCCTAGCCAGAGATTTCTAAAGTTTACAACTGTTATTTAACTTTCACAGATAAGTCCCAGCACTGTGCTTCTGCTGAGCATTGAGGGCTTTTGCAAGATCTTCACTCATCTTTTTTAAAGAACAAACACATTATTGTTGGTGTGCAGAAGTAGGCGCTGCTGCGTGAAAGAGGAGGGATGAAGAGCAGGAGGGAATGGTGCAGTTTTGGTGTTTTAGTAGCTAATTAGTGACCTGCTGCCAGATGGCGCCAGATCTAGCACCTGTCAGGATTTTACAGAAACGTGTTACAAAGATCAGGGGTAACCTGTGTTTTTCTCTTTTGTGGGCCGCTGTCGGTACAGGATCTGCTCGGGGTCCTTCGACTGCCGATGACGTCAAAGTAGTTGATTGGCTGAACATGAAGCTCACAGAAGTGACGTTATCACGTTATCATTTTGATTGGTCAGAACAAATTTGCGGTTTTAGTCCTGTAGTCCAAAAATCGACACTTTTTGGAGAAAATATGTTTGAATTTCTAAAGGAAATGTAAAATATAAGCAAATGATAAACGGTGACCCTCAAAAGCTCTTGATGTTGATGAAATGGGGCAAAATAAAATATAAGAACTTTATTGAAAGACACCAAGCAATATTTTGAGTCAAAGAATGTATTTAGATAACAACTAAGGAAATATACAGACGAACTCCACATTAATACAAACAGATTTGGCTTCACATATAACAACTGTTCTATTTTTGTCAGTCCGATGTTGGTTTTATGCAGTTTCACATTCTTTACAAAACAAAGATAATATGGTGTTTTATTAACAAATTACAATTATAAAGAAAACATTTAGGTGTTAACAAACAAGAATTTACAAAACTGCTGATGTCTTTCCAAATTGGCAGTCGAAGGTAGGCATGGGTACCTTTGACATTTGAATCGATCCGGTACTAATTCCCGGTACCTACGAATCGATACCGGTACTTAACGGTACCAATTTTCGATACTTTTGAGTGTTTATTATTTTAATTCTCTTTTATAATTAAATATATATTTTTCTCAATATATAACAATATTTGATAAATATCACGATAAATAGCATTCAACTGTTTGTATTTTAACATCGCCCTTGTAGTTTTATAAGCTGATAATTAAACTGAAGCAAACATCTTTACTGTGAACTAAATTTACTGTGTATCTTCATTCCTTTTGCCGTCCTTTTTCATTTGATTTTTCCTACTGGGAAGTTAGAATTTCCGAGGAGAAAGTGAACTCACCATTAGCTGATAACAATGGTGGCAATGGAAGCTAACATATCAAGCTAACGTTATCTTAAACAGTTTATTTAACTGCTGGAGCAGATTAAAACGATGCCTCACACTTAGATCGTTGTCGCTGGTTTCGTCTTCACCCGTCACATTTAGTAAAGTGAAGCCAAACTTTAGAGCGCGTTCATGTTCTAGTCGGAAATTCGGAGTTCCGAGGAGAAAGCGAACGCACCATTAGCGAAACGGAAGCTAACATAACAAGGTAACATTATCTTAAACATTTTATTTACCTACCGGAGCAGATTAAGATGAGGATGTCTCACTTAGATCGTTGTCTGTCGCTGGTTTCATCATCACCCAGTTACCCATCACATTTAGTGAAGTGGACCCAAGCTTTAGCGTGCGTTCTTTCTACCATGCTGCTCTGTTTACAACTCGCTCGCAGGGACCGATGACATAACGCTCTTGCGCATGCGCAGCTGTCTAGGCAAGTTCTCGTTATGAAGGACGGGTACCGAAACGAGGCACCGTTTGAAAAGACGTGAATCGGTGCTCGGTCGGTACTATGGAATTCGGTCGGTACCTTAAAAAGTACCTAATTCGGTACCCATCCCTAGTCGAAGGACCCCGAGCCGATCCTGTACCGACACCGTGCCACCCAGTCTGGCTGCTCCTACACTGTTATTCATCAGTGGGTAAAAACACAAAGATTAATAAATACGTACATATTTTATTGGATGTCTTTTTATTGAAATACATTTTTTTTGTCTAAAATTCACAAGCCGAGTTGTTTTAAGACTCAGTCTCTTTCCTTTACTTGTGAACAATATTTTCTTTGTCTTGCTGGATGGCAACAATCTTTTCAGACACTGTTGCCATAGAAACCAGACTATGGCTCTTTAAAAACGTAAGAAATTAATGAGAAAAAGTCCCTATCTTGGACCGTTAGTCAGGTACTGGGCTTTACCTGTTTTGAGTTGAATCGATCCCATCCGAATATCACCGGAAGCACTTCCTGTTTAAACACGGCGTATAATAATTTTCATTTACACTTGCAGTGAAGCATGTCTTGCAGTCTGTGTGGAAAGGGTTCCCGTGTGCTCGGTGTAAAGTCATTATTTGAGCCGTAACTTGTATTCTCAGCAGAGATGTTCTGTTTTTAGCCCGGCGCGGAGCAGAAAGTGATGACACGTACCAAAGTAGTCTATCAGCGCACTGCTGCACGCAGCAGCTCATCAGCTCTAACGGCGATCATACCGTCTAGTTTCCCTCGATCTGTCCCCTCCTCCCCCCTCACCTCGTCTACCTCTCCTCTCTCCTGCTAGCCCTCATAAATGAATCATCACGTCGCCCAGCAGAGCAGAAATGTTCCTTAATTGCATTGACATCACCCGATCTGTCTTTCACATGCACACATATCAAACACGCCCCATTAATAGGCGCTGAGGGAGTGTGTGTGTGTGTGTGGGGGGGGGGGGGGGGGGGGGGGGTCCTGCTGCTTGCATGTCTCACTGCCATGTGTCCTGTCAGCGCGTCTCAGTGTTGAAAGAATGTGTCCTCGTCCTCTCCCCTCATTGTTTTCCTCCTCTCCCATGTTCTCCTGGCGTAATGATTCGGATCAGATGCGGCTGTGTGGAATTAGGATCTGCCGCTTCTCCTCCTCCTCTCCCTCTTCTTCCGCCTTACCCTCTCTCTCCCGCGCTCCCTCCGTCTCTCACACCGGCCCTCTGGCTGACAGGCATCTCGTTAGTGCGGTATGTCTGTCAGTGAGGTTTGAGATTGAGCTGTGCCCCCGCATATCCCTGATGTCTCTCTCTCTCTGACACACACACACACACACACACACACACACACACACACACACACACACACTCACACTTGTCCACAGCTCTGAACGAATCGGCCTTCCTGGCCTCGGTAATGATCGATGCTTTTACCACGTGGCTCCAATTGAAGCGTTATTTTTGTCCCGTGCACCAGATTCAACCATTTGTTTAAATATTGTTGTCTGGGTTTTCCCCCCTCCCTCCACTGTCTCTCTCTTCTGTCAGGTGGAAATCAAGATGAAGAAGACAGATGCCATTAGATGGGAGAAGCTGGAGGGAGAAGGACAGGAGTCCAACATCAAACACTGGAATCCAAGTCAGTCCTTGGCGTCTGCGTTTCCACTCTTCCCTCTGTTCTGCTGTCACTCTCCCTCTCCCCTTTTCCCTCAACCACTTCTTGTTTCTTTCCCTCTACAAAGATCAATATAAGCTCCTGTTTGTCTGTTCTTCTCTGAAACGAGAGTGGGCAGTCGAGCCCTGTTAGACTCTTTCATTAGTCTGACGGCGAGAGTAGGCAGGGAGAGGGAAAGGTATGACAGCACAATGCAGCTCCGTGCTTTAGCCCACACGTTCCCCTCGCTGACAGAATTAATTGCTTTTGTAAGTGTGTGTGTGTGTGTGTGTGTGTGTGTGTGTGTGTGTGTGTGTGTGTGTGTGTGTGTGTGTGTGTGTGTGTGTGTGTGTGTGTTTTGAAGGGAATAGAAAAAGTTAGCCCAGCTGCCCCACCCCCCCACCTGAAGTCTGTCTGGTCTGTAGGATTTAAACGTGACCTTAAGCGTGTGCTTCTGTGGCGCTGCCGTGTGTCCACTCATGTCCTGAATCGCTCCCCGGTGCTTCTGGTGTTTCTGTAAATCTGTTTCCTGGATTACGTTTGCCTCTCTGATGCTTCATCCCTCGTTGGGATTATAGAGACTGTTTCAGAGGATGTAGGAATCAAATCACAACGTCATTGTTCGACACGGGGGGAATTAATTCATACCAGCCTGTCATGTTTTTGATTCTAAATACAGGAACTAGTAAGTTTATTTGTTTCATTTTCATTTCAAAGCCTGGTTTAGTTTCATGTGTTGAAGGATTCTGCCGAGGCCTTTCAGCCTCTTAACTCTGGTCCTAAACAAGTCATCTCTCCATCAGATCAGTACCCCACCTCCTCCCACTACACCCACAAATGGGACAAGATGGTGTTGGACATAAGTGAGGAGGAGAAGAATGAGCAGCTGGAGGGAGACGCTGCTCTCAACAAGCTCTTTCAGCAGATCTACACGGACGGCTCAGACGAGGTCAAACGAGCCATGAACAAATCCTTTGTGAGTATTATTTTATAAAGGACACGCGACTTTTAGGCTCCTGCTCTCAGAACAATCTGCTCGCTACAATAACAGCAGATTAAACAGTCATTTGTGTCTGATGAGACTTAACTGTGGCTTCAGCTCTTCAGCTACAGAGATTCAAAGAGCACCACTAAATCCAAATATACCATTGGATATGGCATGCTTTTTCCACTGCTTCTGGTTAGGGTTAGGGGTTGACCTTTAACACCAGTAAACCCAACACACCAATCTATTGAACAATCCTCCTTGTTTAGAAACGGGTTCCCTTGACTTTTGAACTAACGATGTCATGATGAGCAGAAATTCAAACATCCTACTAAAAAATACTAAAATGCATGAAAATGATTAACAGTCTCATGTCTGTTACTTTTACATTTCCAGCTCTAACAAGGGTGGCAACCCTCTCTTTAAAGACCAACTTTGCTGTTTTTTTGACACATTTCCAGCGGTCTCTAGTATAAATGAATGCCCTGTGAGTCGATCTCTGAGGAGAAAAAACCCTGGTGAGGAGATGTGAGGAGAACACAGCAGGATTTGGAGAGTTACTTCCTGATATCCAGACATCTCGTCTGATTGGCTAACAGCAACACCACTACACCTCTGACTCTGTTTGCTTTGCTACGTTGATGTTTTATCTCCACATATAACATAAGCCGGGAGGAGTTCTGCTGTGTGGTGGAGTTGCTAACGCTAACGGTTAGCTTCTGTTAGCTAAGAGGTTCTCTGCTGATTCCTGGATGTCGTCCATGAATGCTAATTTTCCGTGTAACGTAGATTAAACTTTGTTTTCTAATCCGAGCATTACCTCGTCTACTTTCTATCACCAGCTAATGCGGGGAACGGGGTTAGAAGACCATTTCCATCTTTAGCCTGTATGTGAAACTCAGAGTGACTGGTCGGTTTTCAAAAGTAACAAGTAAAAAAAACGTTTCTCAGTGAACTTGGTCTTTAAATAACAAAATCCTTGTCAGAAAGGTATTTGTCCCTAAATGTCACCATGTAGTTGATCCTGGATAATCATGGTGGTACCCGAGAACAGTTTCCAGTGTTAAACAGACATCAGTAGGGGACCAACAGCACCAAAACAGACGTTATTTTGTTCTTTTCTGTTCATCTTCCTCCTGTAACGACGTCTAAACTAACAAAGTGTTAACGTTCTTCCATCGCGTCTGTTTCGTTTTCCGTTTCCTCCTCTCCATCTGGCATTGGCACATCATCACAATCACACAACCACAAACAGGCTGTTTGGGTATTCTCAGTGAAGTTGAGGGGAAAACTTTCTTTTCTTTAATGTCTGCAGATTAGTGGCAGTCAGACTGATGAAAAGCTTCCAGGCAGGTATAAAGGTTGGGTTACTGGATTGGCGTGTTTGTCACCACAAATACGGACTTCGTGGAGTTTCTTCATTCTAAAGCACACTCTGTTCACCAACGCTGAAGCGTTTCTCTTATTCACTTTCTGCTAAAACAAGTTTGGTTTCACATTCCAGATGCTTTCTCAGAATATTAATACTGTTTTGTCTTTCCAAAAGATAGAAAAATCTCATTATGTCTGTTTCAGCATATTTGGTAGAGAGTTGACCTTTAAACTAGGCAGCTTTGGCCTTTTCACCCTGTAACGATGTAACTAATGTTGATACGAGCTGCAGATCGTCCATCAGGAAACGTGTGTTGAGACAGCAAGCCGGGCTGATTTTGGTCTCATTTGGATGTGTCTCTGCTGGATTGTCAAGTTATCTTGGCTCAGAAACACGCACGCACGCACGCACGCACGCACACACACACACACACACACACACACACACACACACACCATCGACATATAAATATTGGACAATGGGTTTCCATAGGATCCAATAGCATATTTTGGTGCCAAAATGGGAGGTTCCCACCACCGCCATTTTGACCGTGTCACAGGTTCCGTCAAGCCCAGACAATTCCACAAAAGGGAAGAGAGGTGGAGCTGAGGGTGGGGCTGTAAGGCTGGGATCAACTGACGACACCCAAAGCTAACCTGAAGCTAACCCAAAGCTAACGTGGAGGTGGGAGCTAAGCTAATGGAGGTAGCAACCTAGCTACAACCGGAGTTAACTGTGCACAACACCAGAGCTTCTGAGTCAGCGATACGCCGGGCTGACCGCTGGGTAAAACCGGGTGGAAAACATCGGTCTCCCGAGAGCTCCACAAGCCGATAGTCGGAACCCAGCTCCACCAACATGTTATATTTCAACCCATTTTCTAAAGTGCAGCATCATGTTAAATGCACTGGGGTTTACCCTATTACATTTAAATTTCATGGTTAAACAGTACATGTTAAAATCTAAGCTCAGCTCGGCAGTGGCCTAAAATACATAAATATAATTTTACTTACCGAAAAAAATGAAGTGGAGACTCCTTGGACGCTCTATTAGTGCAATTAATGCCACAGCAAGTCATTTTGTCTAACAATTGCACTAAAAATATCTAAAAAAGAATACACAAACACAGAGACTCTAAATGCCGGACCAGTTTCCAAGCCAGACTGAGGCCCTACTGAGGCCTTTCCACGGAGCTAGCTCTGTGGTCAAGTGGGTCTGATGCTCATTAATTATACAGAATTTTAGGCTTTTAATACACTTAAACAGAAGAGTGAGAAAAAATTCACCCCCCTCAGAGTTGTCATGAGTGTAAACTAGATGATTTAAACCAAAAACATGTGTTGGTACCAGGCAAACATGTTTATTTCTGCTGTGAAATTGGTATTTTTAACATGGGAGTCGATGAGGATTTGCTCGCTTCTGACACCAGCCCCCAGTGGATGAGGGTGGAACCGCAATTTTTGGTACTTCCGGGTTGGCCTCAATTTTTCACCCGCATTGTGGGGGCTTAACACACACACACACACACACACACACACACACACACACACACACACACACACACACACACACACACACACACACACACACACACACACACACACTGACAGAGACCCAGAGTCATTCATTTGTCACACAGATTTGTCGCCTGAATCCCTGTTACAGAGGTGATGAACACAAGGTTTGCTTCTCTGTGTCAAAATGATAATATTCAAGAGAAAAGTACTCCGGTTCAATTAGATGGTATGTTTTTATTAAACTGATTATTAATTATTGGACAGCATATCTTTATTGGTTTTTATTTTGAGGGACATCTGCAGACGTCCTGCAGAAAACGACGATCCCATGATCTGTCTCCACGCTTTAGGTGTATACTAATTTAATGTCTTTAACTTAGGAGGATATTTGGGCCAGTTGGACGTGTTTCTGTCTGAAAGTTAGAAATAATTACTGTCTTATTGGGACGGCCTATGTTCAAAGAAATAGTTTACAGCTAATCTGAGGGCGTCCCTCCTAAAGCTGCTCCAGTATCCCTCACTTCATAGGAATTCCTGCGATGTCTTTTTAAAAACATTTTGGTTCTTGAGGTCCGCCATCCTGCTCGTTTTAGATCGGGGTGGGGAACCCTGGTCCATCGAGGGCCATTATCCAGCATATTTTAGTTTGAAACCACTTCAACACACCTGATATCAATCAGCCGGTGATTAACAGGCTTCTGCAGAGCCTGATGAGCTGCTGAACAGGTGAATCAACCACTGAATCAGAAGTGTTGGAGCAAAGACGTGCAGGATACCAGCCCTCGAGGACCAGGGTTCCCCACGCCTGTTTTAGAAGATTCTTCAACACACCTGGTATGAATCCATTACCATGATTAACAGGTGTGTTGGAGAAGAGAAACCACTTAAACCTGAGGACCCTGAGTTAGTCATCCATTATAAATCTTTTCATTTACATTGCAGCAGAGGTTTGCAGGTTTGAGCCCCACTCAGTCTGTCACAGTAGTTGTGTCCTTGGTCAAGACACTTCGACCTCCTTAACTGCTGGCAGCGCCTTGGGGGTTCTTGGACTGTAGAAGGTGCTATATCAGGGATTCCCAAAGTGGGGTGCGCGAGCTGCCGCTAGGGGGTACGCGAGGTGAAAAGTGTAATGGCTGCGGAGCTCAGAGAAGTCTGTCATATGTCACCATTAGTGTAGAAACTCATTTGTGGGTGGGCCAAAGAAAAAGTAAGAGGGCACAATAAATGTAATTGAAAACAAGTATATTTTTGCGCGCGCGTGTCCTCCACATGTGCCCTAGCTTCATAATAACAATGCGCCGAGCTTCAGCACTCTGGCCTGCGCACGCCGATATGGTCCGTATTTGATCATTTTTAACGGTGTTGGAGAAATCTGAAGGTGGCGAGTCATTCTGGCAGATTGTAATTAACACCTGTCTCATGCAGGTGTTCTGACATTGTAAACCTCACACACAGAACATTGTGGATGTAACTAAATAACAAGAAATGATTCCCATTCAGGCTATTAACAGCGCGCTGACGATCTGAAGTTCAGAGTGCGTCTGTCAGAGGTCAGACGCGTTCCGGCTGAACCACGGCTCACGGGTGCATAAGTGAGCACATCTGGGCTGGGCAGAAGGAATTTTACAACATTGGTTTAAATAGCGCGAGACGCGGTGACTTGAGCGGCTGTGCCGCGCGCGCAGGCGCAGGCACACACACAGATTCAATAAGCGCACACGCTGCTTTAACTCCGGCGCGCCGTCAGACTGAAGGCAGAAATGAACGCTGCCTCCACCGTGATAACAATTTTTAAGAGGTTATTTTTCATTCAAGGTCAAATTAAGTTATTAGCTTCTGGGATGAGTCGGGTCCGCTCCAGCCAGTGACTCCGAACCTGACCACATCTCATGTTACTGCAGCATGACAGCGGATCGCAGATTCAGCCACACCATAAAACAGCAATAAGTCGGTCTGAGGTAAAAGTGAACATCATGGCTATATCTTGTCCCCTATAGACATTTGATTACGCACAAGTAGGTGATCAGCTCAGGTTTACGCAGAGCAGAAGGAAGGAGAGCGCTCTGGCCGCACAGGTTAAACGTTCCTACTTTAAGAAAACCGTTAAATTGCATTTTTATATGCTACCTGGGCACTCTAAATATTTATTCAAAATGAAATCAAAGGAAATTGTAATGGTATCGAATGTTTATTAATTACTATTTAAAAAATGAAAGTGATGGGGAATTTTTTTAACCCTCTCTGTTTAGTTTGACATCTGATATATATATATATATATATATATATATATATATATATATATATATATATATATATATATATGGCCATGCCCCGATGTGGGGGGGGGGTGCGTCGACATGGTCGGGACATAGAAGGGGGTGCGCGGCTAAATAAGTTTGGGAACCACTGTGCTATATAAATACAGGCTTTTTATCATTCAATCATTCTATTTATACGGCACAGAGAGTCGTCTCAAGGCACTTCACAAAGTAAAGCATTCCAGTACAGTTCTGTTCATTAAGCCAATCCGTGTTAATTTTGACAAGAAATTTGAATTTTGTTTTAGTTTTGGTCTTTTGACAAAGTCTTTTTAATTTTAGTCACAATTTAGTTGTCCGATTTGTTAGTTTTTGTCTTTTTTTTAGTTGGAACAAAATATATGTATCTTTCTTCTGATGTGAAGGAAATTTTAACTATACCTACTTGAAACTGTAAAGAAATATATGTAAAATTCACATTTCACAATTTTTATCAATAAAACTATATTTATAATTGTTTCTATAACAATAATTATTGGAAAATACCAAAATGAACTGACTGTTTAAAATTGTGCCGCTCAATATTGATTAAATTAAAAACATCTTTATAATGTGCTGTAGTATTTGTAAACATAACAGGAAATGACATCATACCATCCGACCATTCAAAGGTGTTTTTTTAGACCCGATTGATCAAGATGGGACACCTGAATGTTTCTCCTCACAAAAGCACTGCTAGAACATTGAACACTGGTTATATTGGCTGTAACAGCCATGAAAATATAAACGATTAGACGATGAGATGCGCAGCGCTCTGATCCGTGAGCTCCAGCAGTCATCTGCTAGCTGCTAACAACACCGTAAGACTTTCATAACCAGGGAAATCCCTGGTGTGTCAAATGTCACATCTACCGCTTTTCTCACAGCCACGGACATTTTTTCCCTTTAAACACAATTTTTATAGGCATAAACATCAGTATATGATGTCTGGTTAGCGGTAGCTTGTTCAAACAGCGGCCAGCCCCGGACTCTTGATTGTTTTTTTCTCGCCTAGTCCCGCCTGTTCAATTTGCTTAATGTATTTTTCCCCAATCCTCCCATTTTGTCCATTTTATGAATGGATTTTTGTTTCTGTCATTTTTTGTTGTCGTCTCTTATTCGTCATCAAAAAGTACCGCGACAGAACCCCAGCTTTGATGAGACTGGTGTTGACTCAGGTTTGTGAGTCTTATTTGAAAATATTTGTTGTGCTGCTGGTTTGCCTAAAGTTAGCTTACTATCAGGTAAAGTTGATGGAGAAAGAAAGGGAATATTTACTATCATCTCACACTAAACACTAACAGGAACAATACTCTGCCCTGAAAATGCTTAATATGTAGCTTCAGACTAAAAATTATGTGGTACAAGTCAAATATATATGATGTTGTTGACTAGTGCGTGTCACATGTGTGTGTGTGTGTGTGTGTTAAGCCCGGGATCTTCTTCAGTCCTAAATCCGCCCCTGCCAGGGACAACCCTCTTCACCAACTGTATTGCATTACCATTTTCCTCGTTACCATTTATAAACAAGCTTTCATGTTTCTGCTAGAATAACAGCTAAATTCCCAAAAAATACCGTTGCACATGTTGAAATAAAACTGTAGTTTGGAGCTGTCTTAAGATCACAGACTAGCCATTTGCTTGTCTTTCTAATAGGGTATGAACTCTCATCAGGAAGCAGCCCCGTAACGGTTAGATGGTCTTTTTAACAGAAACACACCCAACCTTTAATAGGAGGAGACAAGATCATTGCAAACAGGTCTCTAGGCTGTGAGCAGTGTGTGTGTGTGTGTGTGTGTGTGTGTGTGTGTGTGCGCACTCTGTGGTAATTCCTTCATGTATTTTCCCTCCCTTTACAGATGGAGTCTGGTGGTACGGTTCTCAGCACCAACTGGGGCGATGTGGGCCGGAGAACGGTGGAGGTCAGTCCTCCAGATGATGCAGAGTTCAAGAAGTACTGAGCACCTCTCTTCCTCCTCCTGTTTGTTTCTTCCTCCCCTTTTTAAAATCATGCGATGACCCCGCTGAGTTCCCTGGGAGCTGCAGTCGGCCTGGCGGTCCTCTTCTCCTCCTCGTTGTGATGGCATTCAGAAGCCATTCTATCAGCGCACACCTGGCCTACTCTCCTCTAGAAGTCATCACCAGAGGGGTCAGTTTTAGATCATCTCTTGAACTAATTGATCTGGTTTAAAGGCCAATGCATCCAAAAGGGAGGTAACATGACCAACAGACCTGAAAAGCCTCCATCCAACCTGCAGACGAATAATCTTTGTTCGTTTTTGTCCTTAAAACAGCAACATGTGAAGCCTTTCATCATTTTTCATAATCAGCCCGTTGTAAAAATGTAAAGTTGCTCAGAAGAAGGAACGCAACAATTTTTCTGTAAACAGCAGGACTTAGAAACCTTCTGCTCTGGCTACCTGTCATTTTCACTTGTGACTTTAACTCCACTGTAAATAAAAGATTTGGTTCTAAAACGGCGCCCTGTGTGTTGTGGTTTGTTGTGTCTGGGGACGGTTTTGGAAGTCTCCAAACAAGATGGCTCAGACACAAAAGCGGGGCTGCATTAATACGGGGAGCTGTGATTATGACCCGGGAGCCATAGAATGTGCCTTCACTGATAGGGGAGCAGGAGGCTGATGCGGCCGACAGCTGGAGGAAATGGTTTACTTATTGCTTGGTGATCGGTATCGAGAGGAAGGGCCCTGGAGATGTTTGGCCAGCTGTAGAGGGGAGTAGTGATGATCTACAGCTGATGTGGAGCCACCCTATTCTCCTGACACACACACACACACTGTACACGAGGCAGCTGTAAGTGTGAGGGGGTGTCCTGCAGAGGCAAGAGAGCATTAATATGGATCGGCCTCCCTAACCACATCATCAAGCCTCTCACACTGAGTTAAGTGTTAAATTCATCACACACCGTTTCATCTCTGCTGATGATCAAACACTCATTTGGGTCTCTGGATGGAGCTCTTAGCTCCGTGACACGTCCACACACACACCCACACCCCGTCAGCATCCCTGACACACACAAACACACCGGCCCCATCCTCACCCCCTACCCCCGCTCGAGGCGGCTCTGCCACATCAAAAGCAGCTAAGCACTTTGCATCGTGGGTAAGATCTTGGAGCGTGACTGCTGCAGAGTCTTTAGTCTCATTAAAGAGTTCTAGAGCTGCAGCTCACACTGAAGAAGTCTGGAAACTTCTCCCTGCTCTGCCTTCTGCAGCAGCCACCAGATGTGACGCTTCCCAGGAAGTGTGTAGAGGACCAAACAGGAAGCGTCCTGTGATCCACGCTAGAAGAGGCAGACTGACACGGAAGTTTATTCTAAAAAGTTTTATTCTGTGGTTTTATTGCACTTTGTGGTGGCATCTTTAATGCAGGTGGAAATATCAGATACAAGCATCAGAATTCTTCATATATTTATTTATGAACAAACAATAAATCAGCACCGAGTACAAATCCACCTGCTTTTCTGGGCATTCAGTTACTTAAATCTAAATCACTCGTCTGGTGTCTTAAGAACTGCAGGTGTGTGTGTGTGTGTGTGTGTGTGTGTGTGTGTGCGTGTGTGTGTGTGTGTGTGTGTGTGTGTGTGTGTGTGTGTGTGTGTGTGTGACTGATGCAGCTGAGGACTCAGCTTCCTGTTTTAGATGTGAATAAGTCAGCAGCCCTCTCTTTTAAACTTTTTCTTTCATTCCCTTCTCTCTCTCTCTCCTTGACCACCCCCCCACCCCTACTGGGCTTCACCACCTCTCAGGTGAGTTATGAGGTATTCACACCAGGCCCATGATGCGTGCTACCCACCATTTGCAAGGCATGATGACTCTGCAGGCCACCCTGCAGCCTCTGTAGTGATACGGCCATGGGTGGTACCCCCCCAGCGGCTCGCAGATCCTTTGGCAGTGGGTATAGCTGCGGCGACACTCGTTGCAGCACACGCCCTGGTGGTCCAGCATGGGGTCAATGTCCATGGTACCCTGCTCGCCTTCCAGTCCTCGGGACTGGAGGCAGGAGGAAACAGCAGTTGGTTTGTGCACTCACTCACTTCAAAGATTCTCAACAAGCAATGGGGAAGAGGGGTGTAAATGCAGGGTGACGAGGTGTGCTCTGGGAGGCTTAAGAGTGCAGAGAGGAGAGAGAATGAGGAGAGGGAGGGGTGCGTGTGGTGGAATTATTCATAAAGCTTTAGACAACACACACTCAGATTTGCTGTGACAACATGGGGCCCCTCCACCGTTGACCCCAGCATCTGCTGCCGCTCCTGCAGCTGTGAGAAGCTCTCCAGGGGAAAGCCTTCTCAGGTAGCTCCTCAGATCCGAACAGACAGCTGGGAACGCCGTGGCCGGATGCTAACAGCGGTGACGGAGCGGAGATGTCTTGTTGGCGTGACTCACCTGATAGGGGTTCTGAGGGTTGAACTCTGCCTCCACGTCCTCGTAGTCCTCCTCCCCCCCAGCTGCCTGGCGGCTCTGGCGGGGGGCAGCTCTCCTCTTCCTCTGACCGCCTGCACACATCACAGTCTCAGTAACTGACAGCAAACCAAATTTAGGAGCGGAGTAGCCCCAATGTGGCACGGTCCTCACATGAAGTAGAATCAAACTGTGTTTTGTAAACTTCTGACCTCACAGCGTGTCAAGCATTGTTCAAAACAGGATTTCTGATTTTCATATGAAGCTTTTTTGTCTCAGTAGATGACCCATCATCTTTGTTTGCGTGTGAACAGGTTATTTTCTCCAGGGTTGGACGACAGTGTGCTTACTGCTAGAGTAGGTTGGGCGGAGCCAGAAGATAGGCAGGTCACCGCACAGGTTCTTGATCTTGTTGCCTAGGAAGGTGGAGTCAGGTAAGGGGTCGCTAGCCGCCACCCAGATCAGATCATCCTCAAACTTGGCGGGCATCACCTCGTCCTCCTACAGGAGTAGAAAAAATAGGTTTTCAGGCAAATTCAAGAAAACAAGCTCGTCAGTAGCTCTTTAATGGGATTTTCAACTACGTTTCTGTCTAAATATTATGAATCATTTCTATTATAATTAACTCTGCCCTACAAAAACTGCAATACATCCAAAACTCAGCCTCACCCACACCCGCCCCACGGACTGCATAACTCCGGTACGCTAACAACTCCACTGGCTCCCTGTTCCATACTGGATCCATTACAAATTGCTCCTCATCACCTACAAATGCCTCAATAGCCTTGCGCTATCTGACGTAAATTCTCCATCGTCGTTCTCCTATCCAACACCTTCGTTTTGCTGACTCCAACCTCCTTTCCCCTTTCAAAACAGCACACCGCACCATGGGGGATTGAACCTTTGCAGCCACTGCCCCCACACTTTGGAACTCTCTCCCACTAAACATCAGGAATGCCGTCTCTCTCTCTTCCTTCAAATCACTGCTTAAAACCCACTTCTTCAGATCGGCCTTCTAACTAACCCAGCATGTGCCCTGTTTTGTTCATTATTTGCCATTTTGTTTCATCATGTGTTTATTGCCATTTTGTGAAGCGTCTTTGAGTGACCTAAAAAGCACTATATAGGTTTGATGTATTATTATTATTATTATTATTATTATTATTATTTTACTTCATTTCTGTTGGATGAAATGTCTAAAATCCACCAGACCTGATGAGCTAACGTCTCCAGGTTTTCGTTTTCCCCTCCTGTGTAGAATGTTTTTGGATCACAACATCCACTTGAAGGTGAAATGTTTGGTGAAATGTATTATCTATGCACACACATTATAGGTTGTGCCATTGTCAAAATCCTGTTCCTTTTTCTTCATTGTTTATAAATAAACCCAAACACCAAACTATGCAAACAGAACTGAGCAATCTGACTAAAACTTTTGCACAGTACTGCATTTGTAGTGATTTCATACTACATACTTAGCAAACATGTTCCTTTGGGCTGCATGGTGGGGCGTAGCACTGTTGTCCTGCAGTGAGAAGGTCCCAGGTAGGGATTAGCCGGATACTCGTTTCAGACGAGTATCTGGTACGGATAAACCATTTTTGATGAGTACGAGCATGAAACGAGTAAAACTCGTAAATATCTGTAATCGTGCTGAAGGAAAGTCCTCGTTGAGTAACTGACTGTCTTCATGCTCTGTGATTGGCCAGTCAAATAGTGCGCCCGCCCCTCCCTACACACAAAACTCAGCAGCCGGCAGCTCAGTCCGCGTCCGGTCCATACACACACACACACACTAAGACAGTAACGGATCTCTCTGTGCTTGCTTCACTGTTCACGTTTCTTCAGTACTCCCTATGTTTTCTTCAGTTTGCTTCTTTTTAAAGTTATTCAAAGTAACTTTTTTCGTAACGTACGTGGTGCATTTGACAAGACAGAGCTGAAAACGGCTCGTGCTGCATCAGTCACTGCCTCCGCTCCGGTCGGGTTTTTTTCCTCCCTCTCTCCTCTTCCTCAGGATCCACTCCCTCTTTCCTATTCACTCTCTCTCTTTCTTTACATTTTTAAATCACAATTGTCTATTTTTTGCTCATTTTAAATATGTTTTAATCATTTTCTAAATTCTTTTTTCTATTTTACATGTTTTGTTTTTGTGAAGCGCCCCGTGATTTTTATCTTGAGAGGCGCTATAGAAAAGATCTTTTCTTCTCTCTCTCTCTTACTCCATGCACTTAAATATTAATGTTCTGATTTTATTGAAAAACTTGTTCTGTAATAGTTCCTTTACTATTGTGATCAAAAACATTTAATCTCAACTCTGAGGCTGCTCTGTAAATAGTTTTCAAATAAACAATACACATAGCAACTTGGTCAGACTTAAAATAATGTATTGATGTAAACCACACCCACTTCCGGTTAAACCACACCCACTTCCGGGTTAGGTCACGCCCACTCCGAGATAATTTAGCTGGTTGAACAGATACAGATACAGATAGTGGTGTACTCGCTCATCCCTAGTCCCAGGTTCTGTCCTCACCATAGCCTTTCTGCGTAGAGTTAGCATGTTCTCCTCCGTGACTCATGTTTACCTAATTCTGGTACTGAAATGATGTTACGGACAGCCCAACCACCTGCTGTGGAGGTTTGAGTAGGTAACGGAAAACTGCTGAACCCTAATTTTGTTGTATACTTAATCACAAACATTACTCAGATGTGTGTTATTCTTGGTCAAAGATGCAAGGAGCAGCATCAAAGAGGCTCAAGAGCTTCTGGGCTGGAGTGAAAATGAACGTGTAATGCAGAACGGACAGTGCTGGAAAGGTTTATTTTAAAAATGAGCATGAATAACAAAACTATTGGAGTAGTTTTGAGATGACATCAAACCGCTTTTGGACAAGGTACTTTAATACGAGCCTTTATTTACCTCAAAACTGAGTGGTGCCAGGAGAAAATTGTAGTTGCAAAATGTTTATTAGAAACCTTTGCATCATTGTCAGTTTTGCATCACACTTATTGATGCATTTGAGTATGATTTGACCCCTAAAAACACCAGAGATGCTTTATTCTTTCATGGTTGCTGGTGACCCAGAAAACTTGATCTAATTCTAAATAACTTCTTTAACTAACGGAAAGGCTTTGAAGAAGAAAAACAAACATTTTCTTTTATTTAGCATCTATTCAGATAAAAATCTGGAGACTCTTTACAAGAACAATCAGAATAAAAAACAAATGAACTCTTTAAAAAGATCATGATAAAAAATGGGAGAAAAACAGAAGAACTGGGGTTAAAAATTGAATAAAAATAAAAATGTAAGCCTGATAAAGACAGATTTAGCAGAGACATATTCATAAAAGATGTTAGTGAGAAAGAAGAGTCAAGAGTTTTGAGCTGCTTTACTCTTGGGTTAGCTGTTAGCTCATCAGTCATGTTGGGTGTAAACTCTGTTTCTCCAAACTGAGTTTGTTCTGGATGCTGTTTCCACGGTAACATGCTTTAAAATGGACGTAAAACCTCTTTAAATAGCCTACGCTCTAGGATCGAGTCTCATTAATGGTGCCCTGTCGTGGCTCCTTAGCCCTCCAGGCTTCTCTTCATAGCATCTCTTTGTGCTAACATCCTGCTGCATACAGCGTCAGGTCTCATCAGCATCCAGACGTTTCAGAACGTTTCTGAATATTAGAGCTAATAAGGTTTTTAAATAAAGACAATGTAAACATCAATGTGTAGTCGCGTAGCCTGCAGATAAGATGGGTTTGTAGTGAGGCTTTTGCCTGCAGGCATTTATTCCAGAGGGCTGAACTAGCCATAGAGTGTTGAGGAACCTCTTAGAAATCTTGTTTTTCCTCTTTCTTAAATGATTTGCTGGAGGGACAAATAAAAGCAGGGGGTCCTTTTTCATCGCTCGGCTGACTGATAAGAGTTTATCTGGCCTGTTTTCACTGGATGCAAGTGTGTGTGTGTGTGTGTGTGTGTGTGTGTGTGTGTGTGTGTGTGTGTGTGTGTGTGTGTGTGTGTGTGTGTGTGTGTGTGTGTGTGTGTGTGTGTGTGTGTGTGTGTGTGTGTGTGTGTGTGTGTGTGTGTGTGTGTGTGTGTGTGTGTGTGTGTGTAAGTGTGTGTGTGTGTGTGTGTGTGTGTGTGTGTGTGTGTGTGTGTGTGTGTGTGCGTGTGCGTGTATTTATCTAACCCATGTTTGTCATCATTCTAAATTATAGCAAATGACCAGCCTGCAGCAACCATTATAAGTACATCTCCATGTCTACACACACACACACACACACACAAATGCACACACATGCACAAACGCACACACACACACACACACACACAGACGAGTGTACAAATGATCATTTATGAGGAAAAGGGAGGCAATAACACACACACACACACAATAGTGCAAATGTGAAATAAATGATCGTTTACGAGGCAGACAGAGGCAATAAGAGCAGCCTTGCATGATAATTAATTGTGTTGTTGTTGTGTGCACGTGGGAGTGTTTATGTGTGCACGAGAGTGATTCTGGAAGTGAGGCTTACCCAGTACCAAATGATTTTAATTATCAGAAAGCCTCAATTGAATAATCACACGCTGTGGTGTGTTCTGTGATAACAACCCCAGTGTGTGCGTGCGTGTGTGTGAGTGAGTGTGTGTGTTTTCACAAGGGTTTTACAGGCAGGTCATTTACTCGACTACCTCAGCAGAAATTAGCATTAGTCACTAACAAGAGTTTAGTTTGATAACTTAAAAACATTTTTTAAAGTCTGATGATTGTAACTTGCCATGTGGCCAGACCACCTCTTCTAACTGAAAACTGACAGGCCGGTATTCATTTAAAGGCCGGGTCTCCAATATGGCCGGTGTCGGAGTCAGCGGAGGTAAATAATGACCGGTCTCGTATTGTGGCCGGCTGGACTGTGGTAACAAGTAAGTACGAGCATCCCAACGGCAGGATAATAGTCCCCAAATCAACCAGCAGGAGGCAATACAGGTTCACGCAGACCTGTTTTCGCTTTTACTTCAACGCTTTGGAACGCTACAGACACGATCCTCTATCACGCTCCTACCACACAGAGTCACGGTGTCAGTTAACCATGCTAATTCAACCCGCTCCACAGAACACACATCACCTTCCCTGTGGCTTACATAACACTCACACAACACGCAAATCAGCACATAGGAACTAGCAGAACGATAGGAAACACATATAACACAATACCCAGAATGCACCTGGCTTACAACCCCAGCCAGGTCATTACACTATCAAGTTCAAAGAGAACGTGCTGATTATGCTGCAGAACACTCTGGGGAGCAGCAGTAGGGGGTGTATGAACTACAGTAATCCCTCGTTTATCGCGGTAGATGCATTCCAGACCTGGCCGCGATAGGTGAAAATCCGCGAAGTAGGGACTCCCAGCATGCCCCTCGCGGGGATTCCCTTTACGTCGCACCTACGTCACAAACCGCGGCTATAAACGGAAGTCGCCTTTCCAGCTCACCACTCAGTCATCGTTTCTTCAGATTCGCGATCAGAGTTTCCAACCTACCAATCAATCCAACGAACTATCAGCTCATAGTAAGTTATCTTACTTACTTCTGGAAAGCCCGGCATTTCCGTGTCACTTCGTTGATGCTCGAACGCTCGGGGGTTTCCTAGAGCAGCCGGCGTTTCACCGACGCTATCACTTCCGCGTCTGTGAAACCGCGCTCCCTATTGAATTATCGTATGATCACATTCTCTTTTTGGGGGTAAAACTCAAGTGCCAGACCATAGGTACTGACACGCGATCGTTCATGTCGGTTCATTTCCTTTAATGTTTTCTGTCTTTTATTTGCGCCTGATGTGTATCGCTGCTGTGGAGCGGGGCGCATCAACTTGTCCTCCGACGCACAGATCACTGATGCGGCCGGCGAGCAGGGAGCGCTCAGCTGTTTTCGCGGTCGGTAGATCTGCCTCCTGAGCACGGCCACAGTAACAATCAGGTGTCGCCACCTCAAAAACTAATTTAACACGCGATCGTTCATGTCAGTTCATTTCCTATAATGTTTTCTGTCTTTTATTTGCGCCTGATGCGTTTCGCTGCATGCTGTGGAGCGGGGCGCTGCGCGCATCACCTTGTCCTCTGACACACTGATCACTGATACGGCCGCCAAACAGCTAGCACTCCGCTGTTTTTGCGGTCGGTAGATCTTTTAGAACTGCAGTTCAAAGGTAACTCATGAGGTGAATATATATGAACCCAGGTAGCAGTTTTTCTTTAGGATTGAGAGGAGATGCAGGAAGATAATAAACAGACAGAACAGAAAAATAGTCAAATAAAAACAAGTTAGTTTTTGTACCTGCTGTTGCAACAAACAGACACCATTGAAGGTAATCAGAAGTGAGGAACAGAAAATGAAATAATTATTTTAATTTTTAGAGCAGCAGGAACTCTGAGAGGCTGCAGGCGCATCAGTGAGTTTGCGGCTGCTGCAGCAGGGGGAGGGGGGAGAGGGCTGAAGCAGGAACTACCGTTGTTAAAAGAAATGTGTTTAACTTTGAAAATGTGGGCGCAATTTTAATTGTCAAAAACTCCAGCGAACCATTAGTTCATTTTGCTCAAATAGAAATAGAGGCCTGCCTCTAATACTGGCCCTCCTTCCAATAAAGGCCTGGAGCTTGATGAGCTTGAGTCAAATACAGACCGGGCCTGTATTAGAGGATTTACGGTATGTCTTTATTTATTAATGATTAATAAACATTTATAAATACAAACTGGAACCTTATTGTATAATAATACAATAATAATAATAGATTAATTATAATAGTAATAGATTGATTAATAATACATTTATGAACCATTTATTAGCCATTCATAAGGGGAGCCTTATTGTAAAGTGGTACCCTACAAAGTGTGCCGGCACCAATGCCGCAAAATTCCCACAACCCATGCCGCCACAGATCATTCATAAGACACACCATGGCGGCAGTATTACGCTGATTTGCCGGCACGGTGTGTCTTCTAAAAAGGGCTTTTGAGTCAAGAGCAGGTAGAGTTAAGTCCTTTAGTGAAAAAAGGATGAATTTGTGTCTTCTTCAACAGTGTATGGAGGACTGCTCCGTTGACTCACATCTGTAGCTGTGAGTATGCCATGCTGCTCATGGTCCAATAGCATGAAGAGAAAGACAACCACAGTTTTTGCCCCATGACTGTCTATGGAGTCGTGGCCAGACTATGTATTCATGTGTTTAGGATGGCTTGCCCAGGCTGGAAGAACACGGTTGGTCCTTCATCTTTAAAAACCGTTATAATCGGTAATCAATGTTTTACAGCTATAACAGCTCAGGATTTAAAACACGATTTCATAATATTAATAATTCAGTAGCAAAGACAATGAAAACTTGCAATGGCAGGAAATTTTACTTCTCACCACTAGAAGGATGTAGACCACCCCTCAAGTTCACACAGATACAGAGCGGCTCCTGTAATTACAGACAGATGAAGTCCAAAGTGGGACCAGAACATCTGCCAACATCGTTACACCAGCAGCAGCCTGAAGTTTTCATATGAGGCAGGATGGATGCTTTCATGTTGGTGACACCAAATTCTGACCCGACAGCTGAAATCTAGACTCTTCAGACCAGGAAAGGTTTTCCAGTTTGTTCTGGTCCAGTTCTGGTGTTCCTGTGTGAATTCTAGCCCCAGTTCACTGTTAACTGACAGGAGAGACACCTGGTGGGGTTCCACTGCTGGAGTCCATCTGATTCAAGGTTCAGAGATGCTGATGTGGACCTTGGTAGGAGCCGGTGGGTATCTATTTACTTATATAACAGAGAACTAATCTAATTTATATATGTAAAACCTAGAGATGGCTGTGGGTTCAAATCCCACATATTAAATGGCATATGATTGGTTTCTTTAACCTTTAGGCCCTAGGCCTTTTTTCTTTGGACCCTGGTGTCACCCAATTGGGGGCCTTTGGAGTTTCATGTCCCAAGAATCAGTGATTGGTTGCATTCCCCAAGCACAGCTACAGCTACAATCAAAACAGTTTAGATTGCAAACAAAGCCATTTTTGATTTTTGATACATTAAGATAAAATAATACTTGAACTTTAATTTAGAAGAGCTGCCCTGTGTGAAATAGCTGACAGGATGGAGGTTGTGAGTTCAAATTCCATTTAAGAAATTTAGTCTATTGTTTTATTTATTCCACGGGCCCTCAAATAAATTTGTTCAAGGGTTTCTTTCCAGCAGACACCAGCGAAGGTCAGATGCTCTAAAATAAAGTTCAGATATCATTGTATCTTAATGTATTACAATTTAAAATGGCCTTGTTTCCCATCTAGGCTGTTTGATTGGTTTTAGTTGTGTTTGGAGAATGTGGACCGTTGTGGATGTTTGGGACATTAAACTGTACACTACACACTGGGGCGACGGTGGCACAGGAGTTAAGTGCTCGCCTTGCAATCGGAAGGTCGCAGGTTCGAGACCCGCTCAGTCTGTCGCTGTCGTTGTGTCCTTGGGCAAGACACTTCACCCACGTTGCCTGCTGGTGGTGGTCGGAGGGACCGGTGGCGCCAGTGCTCGGCAGCCTCGCCTCTGTCAGTGCGCCCCAGGGCAGCTGTGGCTACATTGTAGCTCATCCCCACCAGTGTGTGAATGTGTGTGTGAATGGGTGAATGACTGATTGTGTTGTAAAGCGCCTTGGGGGGTTCCAGGACTCTAGAAGGCGCTATATCAAATACAGGCCATTTACCATTTACCACTACTGTATAACTAAAATATTATACTGGATCAACTTAAATTCTTGTGTTCTTGTTGACAATTATTAAGTTCATGTAACTTAGGAATGTGTTTTAATGTAGCCAAAAAGTTACGTCAACATACATGAATATTATGTTGTACCAACTTAAATTCTCGCGTTCTTGTTGACAATTATTAAGTTCATGTAATTTAGGAATGTGTTTTGTTGTGGCCAAAAGGCTACTTCACCATACTCAAAAATATTGCGTTGATTTAATGTAATTCTGCCAGAAGTTGGTTTAACTTAAAAATTCTAGTGAAAAACGTTAACATATATTTTTTTGTTGAACCATTAGGGCATTAGGGTTAAATAGGTTAATAACCAGTCTGGTATCAACCACCATGCCATGTTTTAAGTCTCTTTTATCTCCTATTATCTTCATTCTGACGCTGTTTGAACATCAGCAGGTCATCTTCACCATGGCAAGATGCCTGAATGCATTGAGTTGCTGCCATATTAGAGGCTTAGACATTCGTGTTAACTAGCATCTGAACAGGTGAGTGTATGTACGGTTTAAAGAAAGCTAAATAATGGTAAGTCCACAGGAACTCAATGGTTTACCGTTACATTATTTATCTACAAAGTTACATATGTTCTCCAATCAGCCTCACCCATAATATCCAGTGTGCAAACCACTACCACTTCTAGTTTAGAAAAAAATCATTTTGCTGTAAAACATGGAAACTGGAGACCATTTTCAAAGCTCACAGACACTAAAGAGGGAAACAGAGAATTAACTCACCAGGTCAAAGGTCATCGAGTCTTTATTGAGCGTGTCCACATCAGGTAGCCGAGCTTTAACCTGTGGTTTGACGTAACACTTCTCTCCTCCTGAAAACCGGATCCCCGTCATTCCCTGAAAACGTTCGGATCAAAAAAATTACACCAAACTAATAAAAGTGTAATTCATCACTTGTCACCTTCTCACCACGTGTGTGTGTGTGTGTGTGTGTGTGTATGCTTGTCTGTGGGTTCATGAACATATGTGTGTGTGTGAGTGTTTGAACATGTGTGTGCATGTGTTCGTGCATGTGTGTGCGTGTGGAGAGGTGCATTGGCATGCGTGTTTATGTGTGTGTGTGTGTGTGTGCATGTGCAGGTGCATGCGTATGTGCGTGTGTGTGTGTGCGTGCGCATGTGCATGCACATGCATGTGTGTGTGCATGTGTGTGCTCGTGCATGTGTGCATGCATATCAACGTGTGTATGCATGCACGTGTGTAAGTGCACATGCATGTGTGTGTGTGTGTATGTGTGTGTGTGTGTGTGTGCGCGCGTGGGCTCAAAATTAAACAAAGAAACAGGCAATCATAGGGACACTGTGATTAAAGGTCAGGATTTTTATAGTTAAAGTCTTTAAACTGCTGCTCCACGTCTCTGATTGGCCTGATTGGGGCACTTTAATTAAAGGTCAAAAACTACCAATCTGAAAGTGATGGAAATTAGAGGGACGATTCATCTGACACTGATTGTTCCTGAGGAGATACAATGTCTACTTGTGTCTAATTTCACCGCTGGGGTAATGAGCCCATCTCCCCTTTAGAGCCTTTAATGTTTCAACCAATCTAACTGACTCCGACCCACAACAGCCTCATGATTCCATTTCAATCAAGTTCAATTGAGCTCACAATCTCAAAGTCGTGGACCTCCAGGGCCTCGTCAGCCCCGCTGCCTGTGCTGAACCGCTCCATGTTATTGGTTGAGTCGAT